CCCTTTGGCAACATGAGGTTACAACAAAAAGATGGCTGTCTAGGAAACAGGCCCTCACGAGACACTGGATCTGCCAGTGCCTTTATCCTGGACTTCCAAGCTCCCAGAACTGTGAGAAACAAATTTTTATTGTTTATAAACTACCTGATTTATGGTGTTTTGTTATAGCAGCCTGAATGGACTAAGGCACATAAGAAAGAATATATTTGTAGGTTAAAAAGTGTAAATAAATACCTATGACCTTTGTAGATTACTTCAATACCTGCCATATTTTGTCCATTCTGATCCCGCCCCCCCAACTCCTACTTTATCTTGCAGAGGTTAAATTCTCTTAAAGTTGTAGAGGCATTTGATTGTGTCCTTCTGTGTTCTAATTGTACCTAAGAAAAATTATTCTTATTATCCATCAGGTCTGTCTCTTTTTCTAAGCTAACTTTCACTAAGTGCTTGCTATGTGCAAGGCAGTTCTTATCAGTGCCTCAGAAGTAGGTTTTACCATAATCTCTTCTATGGGTGAAGTTTCCTTTAAGCCACATTCAACAGAAAACCCAAGACTAGATTAAGCAGACATGGTTATGTTTTTCTCTCTCAGCATGAAGTTTGCAGTTAGTACTATAGGACTAGTATGGAAGCTCTACAATGTCACATGTGACCTGATATCTTACATCAGGTTCCCCAGGAGCAGACACTGAGTTAAGGATTATGAGGATGTAATTTACTAAGGAAGTGTTTCCAAGAAAGACTGATAAGGGAGTCAGAGTGGGGCAGGGCAGGGAAAAGAATCTAAGAATGTGATCACATGCTAAAGTTCAGCAGAGGATAACTTCAGCATGAATCCCATAAGAGAGTTTTTGAGTGAAATTTAAAACAGAGTCCTTCCACCCAAGGCAAGGGAACTAGGCTTTCGAAAGCCTTGTGAGGCTGGTGGAAGGAATGCAAACTCACAGACACATTCATCTCTCTTTGCAAAAGGGCAAAGCAACATCAGTATCATAAAGGCAATCCTTGTAAGAAGAGCTACAAGTGTTGGATACTGAAAGCACACAGAAGATGCTGGTAGTATGGGTATATGGTACACATGGAAATGGTATCAAGGAGTCCAGTATAAAGGAATCCAAGGGGATTTGGGCATAGCACAAATATTTGTTTACTACACCAGGGTTCTTTAAACTTTCCCTCTTGCCATTTATAAATGTGTAGGTCTTTGTCTCCAAGCTCATCACCTTGTAGTTAGAAGCTGGCTTCTCTACATTCAGGCTCATGTCTATGGCCCAGGTAGGAAGAGGGGGTAAAAGACTGAAAAAGGCCATGCTATCAGATATGTTCCCTTGAAAGAAGTTTTTCTTAAGTCATATCCTGTTTATATATTTTTGTCTAAAACTGTGTCAAATGGTCACCACATCTGGCTGCATGGGAGTCTGGGAAAGAGTATATTTTTAGTTGAGTGCACTGTTGCCTGGTAAAGAATGAGGGTCTATTGGTGAAGAAATAGGGTTGGTAGTGATGGATTTTTAGATAGATAATTGTAATGTTTGGTACTTCCTATTTTACAGAGGAGAAACAGAGATTGAAAGGGGTTACATACCTTGGTGAAGTTGCACATCCAATAAGCAGTAAACCAAGCCTATATTCTTAATATCCTGGACAGTATTTCATGCATTCTTTTTTTTTTTTTTGAAACAGAGTCTCACTTTGTTGCCTGGCTAGAGTGCCGTGGTGTCAGCCTCACTCACAGCAACCTCAAACTCCTGGGCTCAAGCAATCCTCCTGCCTCAGCCTCCCCAGTAGCTGGGACTACAGGCATGGCTGATTTTATATATATATATATATATATGTATGTATATTTAGTTGTCCAGCTGATTTCTTTCTATTCTTTTAGTAGAGACGAGGTCTCGCTCTTGCTCAGGCTGGTCTTGAACTCCTGAGCTCAAGCAATACTCCCGCCATGGCCTCCCAGAGTGCTAGGATTACAGGCGTGAGCCACCACGCCCAGCCTCATGCATTCTTTTTATGGGAGTATCCTATGGGCTAGACATTGTAATTGGACTTGGACAAGTGTTTCATCATCTTGGCACCTCAATAGGAAATAGCTCATTGATTATCACTACCAACTGGTATTCACTTTCATCTCTTGAGCCATTCCTTAGATTCCTAAGCCTCCTAGGCCCAACACTGACTACTAAGGGTGTTGGAACAACTGGATTTATCCCTTTTGCCTGATACCTACAGAAGGAACCTGCTTAACATAACCTTGAGAATGGATATAAGAATAGATAAAACATTTCCAGTTTAAAAACACAATGCAAAAAAAAAAAAAAAAGAAAAAGAAAAAAACCAGAATAGATCAGGGGTGGGTATTAAGGTATGGAGATAGAGAATTCAGTTCTATTTCTTTCTCTGATTACAAATCCACACTGATCTCTCTTACCTATGTACAACTGTGTACTATGGAGTTGGAGTTTTAATACATATTGTACATGTTTTAATTTCCATGTGGTCAAGGAGCATACCTAAGATTTCTTTTGTGCTTTCATGATGTCTAGCAAAGTTCAGTATATGTAATATGGCATGTATTTAATGAATAACTGCAAAAGATTTTTTTTTTTTTTTTGAGACAGGTCCTCATTCTGTTGCCCAAGCTGGAGTGCAGTGGCGCTATCATAGCTCACTGTAACCTCAAAATCCTGGCTTCAAGCAATCTTCCCAACTCAGCTTCCAGAATAGGAGTAGCTGGGACTACAGGCATGTGCCACCATGCCTGACTAATTTTTTTCTGTAGAGACAGGGTCTTGCTATGTTGCCCAGGCTGGTCTCAAACTCCAGGCCTTCAGTGATCCTCCTGCCTCAGACTCCCAAAGTGCTGGGATTACAGGTATGAGCCACCACACCTGGGAGCAGAAGATGAGATTTCTGAGCTGTAAGAGTGATAGTATGAGGGGAGAAGGAGTTGTGGGACAAGGCTACTCCAATCCCTAGTGGAGATTTCTCCATGTTTCATGAAATTTCTCAGCATAAAGCACAAAGATTGAAATTGTTGTTTTTGGCTTATTTTGTTCTGCAGAAGTGAGAATTATATAAATCATATAAATCAGTCATTTTAGACTTAAATCAAGCTGCTGTTTTCTGATTAGATTTGCAATTTTTTCTTCAAATCTCCCCTTAATCTCAACTCTTACTTAGGTTTTTCCCTAATTCTAAGTCACTTTACTCATTCAAATAAAATTTTCTTGACAATATTTCAAGGTATCCAATAAATACATAAAAGTCTAAGAATATAAATAAAATAAGGGAAAAGTAAGTTTTGACACAATTATTATTTCTTATACAATAAAATGAACAAGTTCCTTCTAGTAATATGTGTTATAGACGATCAAAACAGATGCACGTGACAAAATGCTATCACACGTGAATATTTTAATCCAATTACATTGACTGTAGTGATGGTGGAAAGTATTTTTTTAAAAAGGAAAATTAAACACAGAAAATAAGCTAGCCTGGTTTAAAGATATCTAAATAAGGAGTCAGAAGTCTCAGGTCAAAGTTCTGGTGCAGTTACATGTTGGCTGTTTAATCTTGGGTAAAAGTTGCTGAACACTTCCTTTGTGCCAGCCTCCGCAATAAGCACTGGGAGTACAGAGGTGAAAAAGACACAATCCCTTCCCTCGAACATCTTGCTTAGTTTTGAATCACCAAAAATATCAGACAAATGCCCTACTTCAGACACCAACATCGGTGGATGAGGGTATGCTCACTTTCACTTAAGAATTTCAGAAAATTGAGTCATTTTATGATAAAATCATTATGTTCTCACATACTTTTGAAAAATACAGTTTATTCAAGAATACAAACAGCATAAATATATTTGGTTATCTAATAATAATTTTAAGTATAATACAGATACACATGGTAAATAGTTTTTTTTCAGAAGGGGTGATATAGATGCTGCTTTTATTTTTGTCTCTTTGGTTAAACTATTGGCAAAGTAATGAAAAAAAGATACATTGTTTTACAATTGTAATACCCTTGTACAGTAACTCTTAGTCTCTTTTATCTTATATTCTACCAGCAATTGTATCCAGTAGGTCTCAAATTAAAAACTAAAAAGCCCACACTTTCGGAAAAGGCCATATTTCATAAGTATTCTGTTATTATGTTTACCATTTATTATAAGTGTTAAGTCTAAGAAAAACTATAGTAGAAATTGTTAAGACTTTAAAATAAGCAAGAAATATTCCTTTAGTAGTTAAAAAATGTTATTATATGGTTGAGTATAAATTTTACTACCTTTAATAACAGTAAAACACAAAGATGTTCAACAGAAAATATTCCCATTAATGTATTTATCTAAAATTCTACAACATCAGATAGACGAAGCAGAATAAAGGTGTTGGCATCCAAAGGTTAGATGATACAGGAATAAAGCTCAGGAGGGGCAAAGCCTATATCAAGGACACGCTTAGTCAAAAGAAATGGAAAAGAGACAGAAGTGAAATGAATATTCCACAGTAAGCAGGGGCTTCAGGAAGCTGGACAATGAAAAGACTTATGTACATGGGAAGAAAGAATTAGAAGAAACTTTGTCCAAGGTGACAATGAGTACATCAAAAGACACAGAGGGTCAGAAGAGATAGTATGCCACAAACATGAGGGACAGTCAGTGAAATTTTAATATTCTGTATCTCATCTAGGCTCTAGTAGGTTAGAGAACTTCTGGTCTCACTGTGGTACTTGGATTCCATGGTACTTGGGTGCCCTAAAATATGTTGTAGCTCAGTATTTTTTTTTAAATGTTTGAATTTGTTAGATATTTTCAATAAATAAAATGTTATGTCTGAATTAAAATTTATTTTACTTCATAATGTAAGAAAGCCTTGCTTAAACTAAACTCAGTATGTAAAAACCAGAATTTTAAAAATGAAAGAATTAGTAGTGAAATTATTTACTTTACAAATACTGGATTTATTTTTCTTAATTTTTCTATTGTTGCTTTTTCACACATTTATATTATCTGGCTAGCCATTTAGGCATTTAAAGTTCCATAACCCCTTACAGTAAGAGAGCTGATCTGAGTGTTGCCTAGGGCATCTTACAAACAAACTTGGTGTTTTATTCCAGTTGAGAAATGGTCAACCTATGTAGCATCTGGTCTTCCCTTTACTAGCAGGTCTAGTGTTTGAGCTATTGTTTGGAATCAGGGAAAATTATTTTTCTGTGTAGCTCTTTAAAATGGATCCCTGTCTATAGAGAGACTTGATCTGTTGCCCTTACTCTCCCCAGAGGTCTCAGCTCTAAATGTGAAATTCTTTCTGGGCTGACGGTAGAAAAAAGTAAAAGTTAGGCTTGTATCTCTGTAGTACGTTGGCAGTTTCTTTACCAATACTCTATTTAATACACTGATGCTCGTGTGAGTATGCAGTTATACAGAGGGAGATACAAAACAGAACTGAAGGACAAGAAAAAAATATTTTTACATAAGCAGGAAAACATTCCACAGCATGCTAAGCACTCTCCATTTCCCTTGCATGTTGCGCATCTCTTTCTTTATCTCCCGTTCCTTCTCCAGTGGGTGGCGTTTGGGCTACCCAATCCAAGACCCACAGCTTTCCATCACATTAAGTTTTAGAGAGTTTAAACATGATATTCTCACTGCTCAAACTCTCAGAACGGTCTACTTTAATTAGAGCAAGTTGATTATTCTTTACACCTATAAACGTTCCAGGATCGTTCTTACATTCAAATGAAACACATTTGAAGGGCTTCTTATGAAGGACAAAGAAGGCCTGCTCGGGCAATGATTTTTCAGTTTTATGGAGCTGAGGAAACAAGAAAGAACACAATCAGTAGGTGAATGGGAAGTTCAGAGTCAACTTTACCACCCTGTGTTAGAAACTAAAGGGGAATAATTATTTTTGAGTTGTAATCTCTAGCAAGTGTGTTTAGTGAGTAGGGGAGGGGAGGGAGGAAGAAGTGAATAGGGGGCCAAAGGGGCGAAGGGTGGATTTGATTTGATTCACTGATAGTCAATACTTAGAGAGGCAGTATGGCTTAGAATGACCAGATCTGCATGCAGCAGTTCTGGATTTGTAGCCTCTTTTGACATGTACTATCTTGGGCATGTTGCTTTACCTCGCAAGCCTCAGCCTCAATTTTTCAGTCTAGCTAGTTTTCTAGATCAGTCAATCCCCAATGTACTTACGGACATATGAATAATGATTATTATTTTGAGCAACTAAGTTTTGGGGATGGTTTTTTACACCACAAGAGCTGACCAATACAATAACTCCATAGTATTTGTAAAACATTTAGCACAGCACTTGTTATATAATAAAGCTAAGTATGAGTCAGATTTTATTATTGAGTAGTTATACATGCCAAACACTCTGTTATATACACTTTGTAGCATTTTGTTAAGGAAGATGCTGGTTACCATCCATTGTTTATGTTAATAATGCCTTACATGGCTGTGTTAAGTTAGCTATATAATTTTTTGTATTTATATAATTTTTTTTGAGACAGGGTCTTTCTCTGTCACCTGGGCTAAAGTGCATTGGCATCATCACAGCTCACTGCAACCTCAAACTTCTGGGCTCAAAAGGTCCTCCTGCCTCAGTATCCCAAGTAGCTGAGACTACAGGTGCGACTACCACACCTAGATGATTTTTCTATTTTTTGTAGAGATGGGGTCTCACTCTTGCTCAGGCTGTTCTCAAACTCCTGACCTTAAGTCATCCTCCCACCTCAGCCTCCCAAAGTGTTAGAATTACAGGCAGGAGCTACTGTGTCTGGCCTTGTATTTATATAATTTTTCTTCTGTAACTGTGGTCTCCAATCCCTGGGCCACAGAACTACACTGGTCTGCGGCCTGTTAGGGACTGGCCAGAGCTCTGCTGACCCCCGCTCCCCTACCCCTGTCCATGGAAAAATTGTCTTCTGTGAAACTTAGGAACTAGGGCTGCACAGCAGGAGGTAAGTAGGGTGGAGGGGTGGGGCAAGCAAGTGAAGGCTTCATCTGTATTTACAGCTGCTCCCTTCCCCATCGCTCACATCACTGCTTGAGCTCTGCACCGCCCCACCCCCAGACTCCCACCCCCTCGTCTGTGGAAAAATTGTCTTGATGAAACCAGTCCCTGGTGCCAAAAAGGTTGGGGACCACTGTTCTATATTATACTCTCCTGTTTTCTTTCTTGTCTCTACCTTTGGCTTGTTTGTTCCTCAAGATATTTATAATTATTCATTGTGACCAATATAATAATACTATTTACTAACGAAGAATATGCCATGATCAGAATCCTATGATTGGAATATAGATTGTTAGGCTATTTGTAAATCTTGGCAAATGGAAATGTTTATGACCCTCCCTTAAGCAGGCTCAGAGTGTGAAATTATTTTTGCATTTGCTTAAGAAAATTATATTATACAAAGAAACACTTCCTAGTAGTTCCTAAAGCCAAATAGAGAAGATTTGAGGTTCTGTATAGCAGTGCTATATAGAATGTATGTATGAATCTCCTAGAGATTCGTTAAAATGCTGATTCTGATTCTATTCTGGAGGAGCCTGAAATTCTACATTTCTAACAAGCTCCCAGGTGATGTAGTGCTGCTGGTAGAGACCAGATTTTCAGTAGCAAGGCCATACATGCCATTTCCCTCCCTATTCCAGAAGCAAGTCATTAATAGTATCTGATTGTGTTTCATGTACAATAGCACAAAGTCCTACAAAATACCCAACGCCCAAATCTACACAAATGAGTGGAGTCAATCATGACAGTATAGAATCATATTTCTGTTACCTCCACAGAGTGCTCCTTCTTGTTGGCATGCAGCCAATGGTCTTTCGTGGTACCCAGGTTTACCATTAACATCTTACCATCGACACTGTCACCTTACAATTAAGAAATTGCAAATGATAGAGTTAAGAATTGTAACTCATCTTTGTTTAAATGAATTTAACACCCAAGAAAAGAGTCTAAAATAACTATTTCATTCACCAAAAGGTGTCTTGGAAATATTTGTACTCAAATGAAACCAAAGTGTCATTGGATAAGTAGAGGGTACTTCTCAATTGGAGATAAGTTAGTTTTCTTATACGCTTTCTAATTGGAGAACTGTGACTCTAACAGGCACTTCTCTGGACATCAGCGTCCCTGTCTGCATGTAAAGCCACTGACAGTTGTCCCCCAACTCCTCTCCTTGTAATATAATAGAACATTTCCCAGCCTGGCTTCTTATGGCTACGTACAGCAACAGGACTATGTTCTGACCATGGGAGGTGAGAGGAAGTGTGAGGTACAGCTTCCAGGTTATGCCCTTAAGGGGAAAGAGAATGTATGCTTCTATCTATCTCTGTTCTGCTGATTGGACATGGTCATGGTAGCAAGTAATCTTGAACCATGCATGGTGGCAGAGCCACAAGATGGAAGCTAGGTTCCTGGACAACCTGTTAAGCAGAACTGTTGTTTCAGCCCTGGAAAAGACAGAAATAAAGTTTATTTAGATTAAGCTACTATTATTTTAGATCTCTATTAAATGTAGCCAAACCTTTATCCTAACTATTAAACTGTAAAATGGATGGAATGGAGTAAACTCTCTAAGAATCTACGATTTACCATGAGCTTGGATTGGAGAGAATCTTCGGAGACTGTCGTCTTTTCCTGTGGAGGATTTTGGATTTATCTTTACCCCAAATTTAAGAATTCAAGCCCCACAGCTACCCAGTCCTCCAAACTACCTGATTCACTTGAGGAGCACTGAGACTCGTAGTAACGCAGTAACACCTTATCTGAAAGATAATATATAAAATTCCTTTGGTGAAATATAATTTTATCAAAAGTTTTCAATTCCAACATACATATAACATTAGAAAACATCCTCCCCTTTTATTATATATCAATAAAAGCAAAACTTCTGTGTTTTGAGAAAAGTCTCAAATGTGTGAACATACTCTAGTGAATTCTTTAACACAGTTGTTATAATATTTAAAATATTGTTCATAGCATTGATATATTCTTGGAATGTTTTTTTTTTTGTTTGTTTGTTTGTTTTTTTGAGACAGAGTCTCACTGTGTTGCCCGGGCTAGAGTGCCGTGGCGTCATCCTAGCTCACAGCAACCTCAAACTCCTGGGCTCAAGCGATCCTTCTGCCTCAGCCTCCCAAGTAGCTGGGACTACAGGCATGCACCACCATGCCCGGCTAATTTTTTCTATATATTTTTAGTTGTCCGATTAATTTCCTTCTATTTTTAGTAGAGACGGAGTCTCGCTCTTGCTCAGGCTGGTCTCGAACTCCTGAGCTCAAACAATGCTCCCGCCTCAGCCTCCCAGAGTGCTAGGATTACAGGTGTGAGCCACCACGCCCGGCCAGCATTGACATATTCTTTTATTGAAGGTTGTACTTTGGTGATATTGATAAGGCTGGAGAGATCAGTGCGTAATTTACAGATAATGGGTAATTTACATATGGTCCCTCCTTCCACCCCTCACAATAGATACCACTTCTCAATATCAGCATTCTTCTCTGATGAACCCTGACTATGCTTATGAATCCTTCTCAACATAGTGATGTTCAGTCATCTACCATCAAGGCCTTGGAGTTAGCATGATCTGTTTGCCATGTCTAAATTAATCCATTGTTTATTGTTTGGTAGATTTAAAGTAAAAATACTAGTCATCGTTATATCATTATAGACAAAAGGAAATATTCTACCTTTCTCTTGATCTTTTTTCAAGTCTTCAATATAGATCTCATAACTTCCATCCTCCAAAACAAAAGTAACGGATTGATCATTGTATGTGCTTAGGGAAGCAAAAGATTCTGTAATAGGTGAAAGTCCTGTCATCACAAAAAAATTATTGTCAGGAATGATTCTTTTGGCAACTTTTGGAAAAAAATGCTTTCTCAAAGGATTTTTTTTTACAATTTAAGCTGCACTTTGTCACTGTTGTACAGATAAGAGTCTTCGGCACAAGCTTCACATGGCTCAAAGGCTGAGGTGTGACACCTGAGTGGGATTAAAGGTGCTAGTCCCCTGCACAAAGGCCCTGGAAGGCCATGTAGTGTTCTATGGGAAGGTTTGGGGGAGAGGAAGAAGATGGAAAGTGGTAGACATTGCCTGAGGAAACCTCCACTTCCTGACTCCCTGTGATCTGGGGACTGTGGGAAAGAAGGGACTGTATTTTGATAGGCATGGATAAATAAATGTCCTTCTACAAGGTGCGGCATCACTCAGATTTCCAACAGTCCTGAGGAATGTAGGTGTGAGCCTTCCTCTATCCTCTGCCTAAATAACAGGGACACTTAGTGCACTGCTCCCAACTTTTCTTAAAATGTCACAGCACATGTAGAAAATGATAATATTTTTACAGCCTGATGAGGTAATCTGGAGCAGATTTAAGGACTACCTATATGGGGCCTGGAAAAAAATCATATTTTCTTTATGATTATAGAATTATGCTAAGAAAAAATAATATACAAAATATTAAGGAGAATGTTAAATTGAATTTGTATATGGAATTCAAAGTAAATGATTTAGAAATACTTAATGAGGAACTTCAGTATTACTTCTGGGAATTTATATCAGGAATAATGCTTGAAATGGCAACATGCAATTTCCTGGTTATGTTTTCTTAGTGACTCTCTCTTCACTTCTTTTTTTTTTTTTTGAAACAGTCTCACTGTGTTGCCCTGGCTAGAGTGAGTGCCGTGGCGTCAGCCTAGCTCACAGCAACCTCAAACTCCTGGGCTCAAGCGATCCTACTGCCT